TCGTTGGGGAAGAACGCTTGTTTGATTAGTCAACCGAAAAAACCGGTACGTTTTTTTTTGGAAATAATTTAAAGTGTATTGATTTAAACAAAATGTTGGAAAAAATGATTGCCGAAGATGCTGCACAAGTGTGATGTTGTGTGAGAAAATTTTGCTTTGCTCAAAGTTTTCAAGTATGTCAAGGGAAACCGCTTAAGGCGTGCAAAAGTGGATGGCTTTTAAAATAAAAAAAAAATTATAATAATAATAAAAATGTTAAAAAACAACAAGGAAAGAGAGCTTAATATAGAAACAGCAAAAATCTAAAAAACCAACAAAAATCAAACGTACATACTAGGGCTGTGCGATTATTCGATTACTCGAGCAAGTTGGTTAATCAATTATTCGGTTAATCAATTACTCGAGTAATCAAGATTTTGATTACTCAAAACGATGATTAATCGAGTTACTTGAAATATGATTACTCAAAAATATAATTTTGCTCGTTAAAAGAGTTTACTTTGGAAAATGCTTATTTTCTTTTTTACATTCTGTAAATGAAAAATTTTTCGTTTTAATTTTTGAAAACAGAAACGTTATTTTCAAAGTATCAAGGACTTTAACTACTTTATACATATGTAAAGAGTTGAAATGTTGATTACTCATTTTACTCGAAATGTTGATTAATCATAAAGCAAATTACTCAAATATTTTTGTTTTTGGTTAATCAAAAATCTTGATTACTCGAGTAACTGAACTTTTGAGTAATCATAATTTCCAATTAATCGAATAATTGAGTTATTTACTTTATGATTAATTAATATTTTGAGTAATCAATTAATCGCACAGCCCTAGTACATACATATGTGCGTACATACGAGTATATTTAAATCCATACAACAATTATTTTTTTAATTTTTATAATTTCTTTTCAAATTTTTTCCATGTTTTTAGTCAGTAAAAAATCATATCTATATCGATAAAATAATGTAAATGTCAGTTTTTTTGATTATTTTTCAACACATTTTCAAATGAAAAGAAAAATTTTTTTTCTTCAAATTTTTCGGTTTTTAAATATTTTTTTCAAAGGAAAACACATTTTTAGATCGATTAAAAGCTGGAAATGTCAGTTTCCTATATTATTTTTCAACATAACATTTTTTAAATCAAGGTAAAATTTGTTTGATTCAGATTTTCGTTCAGTAATAAATAACATATTTATATGCTTCTATCAGAAATTGTAAATGTCAGTTTTTTTTTAAGATTATTTTTCAACACAATTTTTTTTAATTAAAATAAGAAATTTTCTTCTACAAATTTTTTGGTTTTTAAATTTTTTGTTCTTTAATTTATAGATTTTCCATTAACACATAATTTGTCGGTCAAAAAATGTAAATATTTTTATTTATTTGTATTTATAATCTTCTTTTAATCTTTTCTTCAGCGTTAAAAAGGTTTTTTTATTTGTTCTAATTGATGAAAAATTTGCAAGGTTTGATATACATACTTATATAATTGTAAATTTTTTTTTTCTATTTGATAATTTTATTTTAATTTTCCAGTTCTGTAATTTCTCATTTTTCTAAGTATTCTTTTCTTAATAGTTTGGCTACCGTAGATTAATCGCTTTTATACAAACGAAAGACTTAAGCTGCGAACCTAATTGCTTGTACTTAACGATTGAACTGTAATCAACCAAGGAAAGCTAATTAAAGCCTAACAAAATTGCTATCAAACACAGGAAATGATGTTCAAAAATGTAAACGTCAAATTAAGGATTTAGAAAAATCTGTACTTATTTTCAAATGCTAAGCTATAGACTTTTGTGGGTTTAAACATACGATAATGTTCTGAACTCTATCTCTGCTTGATTAAAAATTGAAAATTCACACAGCAAGTGAGCACCTAACCGGAAAAAAGTGTTTTAATATTTTTAATTTTATTTGTTTCTTCTATTTTTTAACGCACTCACTTACAGTTGTCTCTACTTTAACACACATATTTGATATTTCATAATCACTACTTTGTTTTTACTCACCAGGATGGAAGGCAGCAGGTTGTGTGAATATCGCTGCACTGGTGCTGCTTATACAACTGACAGAAATTACAACAGCTACAAAGACCAGAAACACTTTAAGTGAGCACATTTTTTTTGAATTGAAATTTTTTGCTTTGTAAAATATTTTTCTTTAAAGTAAATGCTAAAGGCTGCTCTTGGTTTTATCTAAGCGCACACTTTAAAACAGTTTTTCAAAATCTAGGTTCTTTGTAATACACAATTTTTGCGATTTAAAATTTTGTAAAAATTATTTTTATTTTTTTTCAACTTTTGTTTTAGCTCTCTTGCTTAATTTTGCTTCAGCTTTGATGATGCGTTTACGTTGAGATCGAGTTTTCAACTGAATTCAACATCGAACCGGCGCTCATATTTAAACCAAATGTTCGCAACTCTCCATGCTGATTTGAGCGCGCCATATTAATGTAGTTGTTATTGTTGGTATTGCTGTCGCTTTTGTTTAGCATTTCATTTTGTTTACTATTATCGCTTGCCGGTATGTGAGCACGAGTATTTTTTTTTGCACGTCAGCAAAAGCAAGCATGCCAATAGGATTGAGCGAAAGAGCAAAGCGCTCGTATGGCAATCGAGAAAAGTAGAAAAGAGTAGAAAAATTGTGTTGAAAAAAATATAACAAGAAATTGCTTATAAAAAATCGACAAAATCCGTGACGTGCTGCTGCGTAAGAGCTAGGTAAACAAAATTCCAATGCTGCAAAAAAGAGTGAATTAAGAACAAGAAAGAAATGGAGACGTCGTGACGAGAAGAATCGAGTAAATGGACACACATACATACGCTTATGTGTATATCTACATGGCAGGGAATTTAAGGAGACGAGACCTGAGTTAAACTATTTTTTTTTCGAATGAAAATTAGTAGTGCTTCCAGAACAAATGATCTTTTCATAGATGAATCCCACACAGCGTCCATCCTATTTACCGGATCTAAAGTTAATGGAATATATTTGAAATTAGGTGTTTCACTAAGTTTGTGAAAACAAAATCCATTTGATGATTGGCAGTGGCTGCTTCTGGCGATTAAAGTCGTAAGAGCGGGACGTTCTTGAGTTATTTAAAATGCCTCTAGATAGTCTTATGAACAAGGTTATTTCCCATACACTGACATTATGGATATTCCCGTTCGGACTAAGTTGTTCCAAGATGTACTCATAGCACGGATATTTTTGCATTCAAAAGTAGTTCTAAAAACATGAAGTATTTAATTCGCTTTTATAAAGACATAAAACACAGCAAGAATGGTTCTTTAAAAAGGCAATTTCGCATGGGGTGGTTGTTGATGGTTTGAATCAAAAATAATAAGCGATTTTTTGGTATAGGTTGATTAGTAGTAGAATAAAGACCAAAGTAGTCACAGTATTCTCATGATTTTCACCTCTTCTATTCTTAATTGTTCATCCTTCAAAATGTGACTAAAATTGAGTTTTCTACGCCGACGGTGTTATTGTAGCTATCTCTGGTTAGCACATCTCAACATTGACCGATCTTATTCAAAGATCATTATATAACTTTAGAGGGGAAGACCCTTATAATAAAGGAAGATATAAAACCCCTAGATCTCATACTAGATAGGAAACAAAACTGGATGCCCAATGTTGCAGATAGAGTGCGTAAAGCAATACTCCTGCAGCAGGTCAATAGGTAAAAGGTGGGGAATGGGAGCCAAAATAATGCACTGACACAGCGGTAGTTAGGCCAATTCTCTATCACGGCATAGTGGCTTTATGGGATAACTTTTGGAAAGATGTAAACTTTAAGAATATGGATAAAGTCCAAAGACTTGCGTTGACACTCATAACTGGTTCGATGAGAACAACACCCTACAGTCTACACAAGTGGTTAGATACAGGTTATGGTCATGGTAGGCTACTAACTGAGGTCTCAGTCCTTGGATTACATACTTTCGAAGTCTGCTCTCACTACAGCGTTTACAAACTTCCTACCCACAAGACAGGAGTGGAAATAAAACGCTCTAGAGGTGTGCCGAGTCCATCCATGTATACCCCAATAACCCAAAACCGAGGGTAGGGTTGAGGGAGGTGTATACTCCGAACACCGGGGAAACTCACTTAGCTGTCATCTTCCGCACCACTACAGTATTTTTCATGTGCAACTGAAGGCAATCGACAGGGTCAAAAACTGAATCGTGACAACTTAATATATTCTTTTTAACAAGCTTATTAATTGGCTGATGAAATCTGCACAAATTTAAATTTTGAATTAGTTCTCGATATTATTGGACGTGCGTTATGTTCGCCTCAATTGTATGCCATATTAGAGCCGACGCGATGAACTCGTCTCACTTCTGAACATTTTATCGTTTTGTTTAAATTCTTTTTTCTGTCTATTAATGCTTTCTTAGCAGTGAAGTTCTCTCTTTGTCTTTTACTTCCAATTATTGGTTTGCCCATCGCGATTTTGCAATTTTTTATAATAAATGCTTTATAACTGGTTATCCATTTGCTTTTCTTTCTGCACTTTTAATTGATGTGTACAGCAGAATTATGTATAGTACTTTGGAATGACTTGGTAATTATTTAAATTGTTGATTTTATACAAACACTAGATGCGCAGTAGCAACTTTTGTGTAGGTACATATCCACTTATGACTTCAATAAAATTTCTGCTTGCTAATTTTTCTTAGAAAGCAATTATAAACACTTTTTTGGCAATAATTGAGTGAGCTATTTTTACCTCCACAATTTCTTTCTATTTACGAAGTACATGTATGTATGTATGTATGCGAACACGTTTCACTCCCTTCAAATAAATAACCAACATTCAATTCCTTTCTTAGCAAAATGCTAAACACAAATTAATATTGAAAGCACTTTTGATTGACTTAACATGGCAATACGACGATTACACAGCATTTTGACGTTGCTGCATTAATCCGTTTTGCGCGCGTGGGAGTATCGTCAGTACAAGGCAGCGCCAGACCCGTAGTTCACAATCGTTTGTATTTAATCTTGCACATCATTCAACTTCATTCAGTCGGCTATAAACGGCTGCGTTCGACCCACTCAATTAACGCTTTAATCGTGCAATAATAAGTATCAAGACAATTGTAAATCACAGCTTTAGAGTAGATAATGCGTATTTAAATTGTCGTACAGTCGATGCATATTAATAGCATTTTTATTAATTTAAAGGTGTGTTATTAAGACAAATGAACATACATATAGTATGTATATCCAGTACATATGTATGTATGTTAAACATGTTTTGGAGTGTAATAGGGAATTTTTTATAGTTCATAGCCTTAAATCAAGAAGAATTAAAGCGAAGGTCTCAAAGGGTGATGACAGGATGCCTTCTGCTAAAGCCTGAATACAAATTGGCTCTTGGCTACCCAATACTTATATAGTGGTTATCACATAACTGTATGACTCCTAAATATTGACAAGTTTCGATCTTTTATTTTTTGTAACAAAAACTACTCCAAACATCAAATATCAACAAAGTTTCATCAGAATCATATAAAAATACTAGCAGACCCGGCGAACTTCGTCCCGCCCAAAATTAGATTTTTAATTTAAACATTTTGGTACAACAGTTTCTCCAACAATCCACATTTACGATTTGTACTGCACATTCGTCGGCTAAGACTATCGTTTGGTGGTCGTTTGCCGCCTTAAATAACCGAACGAAAGTGTTATGTCCTTGAGAAGATCCCTGGTGGGCACAATGAGCCGGATCTATAGTGAATGT